TCCCATGGCCTTCTCCGTGTGCCCTTTTCTATCTCTCCCAAGGATGCTCTAGTTGGATTTAGGACCCACCGTAATCCAACTAGGTTTCCTCCCCATCCTTACCTTGTTTACACCTTCGAAGACCCTGTTTATAAATGAGATCACATTCGGGGGTTCTGGGAGGATGGAAAGATTTGGCGGGGGCTCTCCACCCACTCCACCTCCTTCCTCGCCTGCGCCTCGCGACTTCACTTTCCTCTCGTCTGTCAGTCCCCAAATCCATGGAGATCTCTCTCTCTCTCTCTCTCTGACGTCTAGGCTTTCGCCCGTGCTGTTGCCTCCATCCAGGGCACTGGTTCTCAAACTTGGCTGCACGTTGGGATCACTTGAGGAGTTATGAAAAGAAGTATGATGCCGAATCCAACCAAATTTGATGGATTGGTCCGTCTGGGCATGGAGACTTTCAGAGGTCCCCCAGGGATTCGGACGTGCAGCCAAGTTTAAGGCTTGCCGACCTCGCCACCACCATCTGCCCCACCCCTCCGTCCATCCCTACATAGATGGCGCTGACCCTATAGGACCCGGGATCCCCTCTCTCTGCTCTGACAAGCCAGTTTACTTGTCAGTCTCTCCTGTGTCAGGGTAGGGACCAGCAGGTGTTAGCCAGGGCCTGGCACATAGCAACTGTCTCTAGAATGCTTGTTTAAAAAAAAATGAAAGCATGCAAACAAGCACCTCCAGGCCGCCTCTGGGAGAGAAAGGCAGGGATGAGATGGAACAGAGTCGTCCATAGGTGCAGATGCCTTGTCCCCTGAGGACCTTCCCGTGGGGTTTGTCTCTGCCCTGCAAAGGGGCCTCTCCATTCACTGCATTCAGAAAACACCTAAAGCAATTTCCCGATAAACCGTGCCCACTGAGAGCACAGCATATGTATTCACTTTGCTGGTTTTGCAGAAATTGGGGGTTGGGTCTGGGGCATGGAACAGAATATGGATTTCTCACGTGCTCTTTCTAATCTCTTGGCGTAAATGTTTTACTGAGCGATAATTATGATACGGTAACTTGCACAGGCTGTAAGTCTTCATTCAGTTCAGTGGTTTTGGACAAATGCATGTAGCTGTGTAAATACCACTCAAAACAAGACACGGAGCATTTCCTTCATCCCTGAAAGGTCCCTCGCACCCTTCGGTCCATGTCTCCTCCCCAGTCCCCCACACGCAGGCCACCGCTGTTCTGATCTCTATCACCATAGATTAGCTCTCCCTCTCCTAGAACTTCTTATAATGGAAGTTCATATTATGCAGAATGTGGTCTCTTGTGTCCGCTGCTTTGCTCAGCCTGACGTCTTGCTATCCGTCGCTGTCACCATGTGACTTGGTAGTTCTTTTCCTTTTACTGCTGAATGGTATCTGATCACATGACTATAACGATTGTGTATTTACCATTGATAGACATTTGGGTTGTTCCTGGGGTTTGAGTTTTACGGCTAAGGCTGCTATAGACAGTCTGCTTCAAGGCCTTTTGTGGAGAAATATT